AGAGAGGAAAGGAATAAAATGAAAGTACAACACAGATAAATATATGCTTATAATGTCATGCTTTGATAAAGAATAACAAGTAAATTGTTACTGACCCATAAGCAAGCAGTAGCAAATCAAAATAATGTCCTGTTAATCAGATATAATAATGATTAATCCTTACTGCTGCTCGGTATGTGTGTTTCTTTCTTGTAGAATAGAGAACAGTTGCGTGGTGGGGTCTACAGACAGAATGAAAAAAAAGGGCACAAAGTTTTAGAATAGAAATGGCAGAGAAATAAACTTTAAGGAAAGAAAATGAATACTTACCACTGTTGTTCTATTGAAAGCCTGACTGCTATTCAGATAAATAGAAATATAAGTTCTGTCTTCAGACTTGCTCTGATACGTTTCCCCTCAACTCTGATGTCGGTCACCTGGGCTCGAGGAACCTGTAGAGATGAAAGAAATAAAATGAGGGTACAATCCAGACAACAGATATGGTAATAGCTAAATAATTTGAATAAGTATAGTGTTTAAACTTTTACTTACAATTTAGAGGGCAGCACTACTTAAAATCAGATTCACTTTAAATAGATAACAAAGAATGTGGCAGTCTTGATTTTGGGTATGGCATGTCTCATGCTTGGTGATCTAGGTGGTGCAGTAGGGTCTACAGAGGAAGAAGAGAAGAAGGAACGATTTAAAATTCTGACAAGAGCAGAGATATTTTAGCAATGGACAGCAAAATATTCTTATCTACTCACTAGTGTGTTGAACTATTCATAGCCATATTTTCTATCCAAATACATAATCAGAAATTTCCCGTCATCAAAATTGATTTGATACGTTTTCCTTCTGGCTGATATCTCATGGACTGCAAATTATCAAAGTAAAGAGAAATAGAATGTTTGCGTAACCCTGACAATAGAAGTGATAATAGTAAACAATTCATTTCATAAAGAGAGAGGAAAATTGTTACTTGTTGATGAGTCTGGTGTTTAGGAAAGGAATACTCCATACTCACATTTTAGCACCCACTGTACCGTACTGTGTGTCACACGAAACCATCAACAAAGAAGCAAATGCTGCCCTCGTAATTGTACCATCGCCCTCTTTTCCTTTCCAATTTCCATACACCAGCTGTTTTACCTGCAACATTCAAAACAACACACTATAATCATTGTTCACAAAATGTTTCACATCTAGAATGCTTGACTTTGAACATCAATTTTGCAGCTGCCACATAATAGTTAGAAATAAAGCCTCAATGCGAGTGATTGTGATTAAGAGTGTAAACCTCTGGACAAGCACACAGTTTAAATTATTGAGTTAACAAGAAATCAACACATGAAACCACAGTGTATACACAACTAATGGAAAACATAACCTCTCAATGAAACCGAATCTTTTTGTTTCTTTACTAGGAAGATTTATGGATTTCCCAAAACACTATAGTGAGCATTGAAACGCAACTCATTTGCAACGAAATGAAGCAGTGTTCTTTCAGTTATCAAAAAGAAAACCTTAATGAAACCCAACCCGTACTACGACTCAGCTTTGAGAAATATGAGTTTCAAGAGATTGCAAGCGTATGACGTAAGCACGCGTAATTTTTTTTTATACTCACGGAAATATTTCTTCGATTGTAAATATTCATCGCACCACACACTTTGAACTCAAGGTGCGGCGCAATGAAATCTTGATATTATCAATATTTAGATACGCTATGCACTCTTACAACAGTCCAGCGGCTCTTCGCTCAGCCACGGAAACAGACGAGCGGCCCCCGAATCCGAGCGCCTAGAGCCGAAATGGAGGCCGCTCCTCGGTAACCGTTCGGCTCAGCCGGAAGCGGAGCGCGCCAACTCGGAATCGGTTTGACGCGCCTCGGAATCGGTTTGACGCGCCTCGGAACCGAGGCAGGCTCGGAATTCGAAAACGTTGGCTCGGAATCAGAGTTTTTTGTTTACCGTGTGCACGCTGGATTTCGGGGATGCACTTTGGATGCCGTTGATACACTGTAGATACACTGTGGATGCCGTGGACACACTGTGGATGCCGTGGATACATTTTGGATGCACTATGGATACACTGTGGATGCCGTGGATAAACTGTGGATGCCATGGATGCACTGTGGATGCTATGAATACACTGTGGATGTCGTAGTTGGACGGTGGATGCCGTGGCTGGACGGTTGATGCCGTGGGTGCGCGGTGGTTGCTATGGATGCATTGTGGATGCCATGGATGCGAGTTGGATGCCGTGGAGGCACGGCGGATGACGTGTCTGCACATATGACGCCATGGGTACATTGTGGACGACGTAAATAGCCGGTGGATGCACACTGGATGCCATGGATAACTAGTGGATGTGTACTATGGTGGAGCCGTGGACGTACGCCGGATGCGGAAATGGGGATGTTCTGGATGTATCATAGATGCTTGATCTACAGTGGATGCATTACGGACGCCACGGATGCCGGGCGTCTATGCTCTGGCCATCGGCCTACCCCACCTGATCGGCGCGCCACCGCATCCCTCCATCCCTCCCTATCCTGCGTTCCTTCTGCCATCTCCGCCACATACTGTTTTCTCTGGCGTGTGTGTTTGTTTGGCTTGGTTGTTTGCTGCACCTCCACTTCCCCTGCCTTATTGTCTTACACCTTTGCCTCTGCTCCCCCTCGCCTCTCCGCCCCTGCTCCCCCTCGCCTCTCCGCCCCTGCTCCCCCTCTCCTCTCTCACCTTTTCACTCCTTGCCTCTTGTCTCTATCCGCCGTCTTGCCTACCCGTCCCTTCATCTCTCTCTCCCGCTTTACCTCCCCACTCCTTGGTCTCTCTCTCTCCCTCTCCCTCTCTCTCTCTCTCTCTCTCTCTCTCTCTCTCTCTCTCTCTCTCTCGGTCGCGTATTTTATGCTTCGTCCTTCTGATTCCATGTCAACGGGAGAACAGGGGATTGCCATACCCACGTTTAGTACTGTGGGTGAAGTCCTGGACTGGGTCCGGGCCCAGGGCCTAGCCCCGTACGTGCTGCAGCCCCACCTGCCACTGGTTAGTACTAGTAGGCATTGTTATACCGGGTGGTCGGTCAGCCCCGTTCCTTCTTTTGCGAGAAAGGCACCTAGTCCAGGAAAGATAGCCAAAAAAACGGCCTCAACCTAGACATAAGTCCGGGCAGCAATGTTTTATATGCGTTCGATTCGTCTCGGCGAGTACTATTAGTGGCCAATTTTCCCCATTCGTACATGTTGAGCGTTCCGTTCCAATCGTGTTCAAAGTTCAAAATATTGAACATTTTTCGATTTGCTGGGGATTTTATCCAAATTGACCTAGAGTGTTGTGTCCAAGCTCATTTTGTGCGTAAAGACGAGAGCTTTCGATTGGTGTAAGGGCTTGACACATTAACACAAGTCATGTGGTCAAAATGTTCGAAAAACCGTTAAAATTGTAGAACTTCAATTGAACACTTTCTCTTCTTTTGCGTTTTGCGTCAAAACCCTTCAGGGGATTTTTTGAAGACCTTTTATAAACGTTGTAGAGCGTTTCCTAAGCTTTCTAACGATGTATAGGTTGACTAGTTTGAGGCGTCGGATAGCGATGCTAGGCGCCGCGACGCTAGCCGGCGGCGAGCGTCAGCCCCGGGCCTGACCCTGGCCGGCTGGTTCAAACAAATGCAAAAAGCTTTGTGTAGGTTTAAGATATTACCAGTCTGTGTGTTGTATTAAATTCAGGCCTCTCCCCCTTTTTTTAAAATGCATATGGTTTGCCTGGTTGTAAAAACATTTAAGGTTCCAGAATGTAATATCAACCTTTTTCGTCTTTTTATGTGTTCAAAATTTAGTTTTTTGCGTTTTGTGGAGGCACCTGGGACTAAATCAAAAACATGCCTTTAATAATGTTGTAGCCCGTACTTTTTCTATACAAATTAGATTCAATGTTAATTTTTGTATCACCAAAACTGCAGGTACCTTTCTAGGTAGAAGTGATACGCCTGTGCTAATGTCCCGTAAGGGGTACTAGGCAACCATCATGACACAAGTCAGTTATCTGTAGTTTTTTGGCCTTGCAGTGACCTAGAGCGAACCCGTGGCTAACGGAGGCAAATACTGACGACTCTATGGCGTAATATCCGAGCGAACCTGAGCGAACGTCTTGTGCACGAGCGAGCCTATGGCAAATTGGAGCGAACTCAGGCAATCTCTTGGTAAAATATGTGAGCGAACCCTAGCGATCTTGATGCACCTAGTGCGGGTACTGCAGCGATTCAAAAGCAACTGCTTCGCAACCCAAAAGCGTACAATTCATTTCGGATCGGGTGGGCTGGGTGATGCACGGGGAAGCGTTCCCCCCGGTCCTTTCCCGTGCTTGCCACGGCGCAACCGCGCACCCGACAGAGCGGCCTGGGCAGGACCGAGCGCCGGAGCCTCGTTGAGGCTATCTGAGGGACATACGATGTGATTGGTCGTGGGTGAAGGACATCGGCTAAGATTCTGCCCCGGACAGAAGTGTTCTGGATCCGCTACGGAAGCCCAGGATGCTGCGGACGTGCACCGTATCTGGGTAGGATCCCAGATAGTTCTTGGATCCACCCCGGAGACGAGTGTTCTGGATGCGTTATAGACGCCGGGCATGCTGGACGTGCATAGGGTGGCGAGGATCCCGGATTGTTCTTGGACCCGTCCCGGACACGGGTAGCCCGGATGCGATTGGGACGCCAAGGATGCTGGAGGCACATAGGACGCATGTGGGACACTGGACAGCATTCGGACAACACCTGAACAGTAGGCCTCAAAATATGAGAAAGAATTTAAACAGTTCACGCGTAGGCCTAGTAAAATATATTTGGTTAGTAAACTTTCTTGCAATTCAGGCATTTGCTTCATCAAATTCAACTACGCAACAGCTATGAAACTGATACATGAGGCAACTGAATTGCAAACAAGTTACCCGTTTTCTAAACCTCTATGTACCATGCTAACATTGACAATTTAAAATAATCATGCACAATAACACTTACGGTCAAAAACAGGATTGTTGCTAGATTTCCTTTCAGCCTTATCGATAATATTATCGACCATTTCGTCCAGGGCTATTCCACCACGGGACACTACGTACCATTTGTTAGTCTTGTTCTCAATTTCCTTGTTCACATCGTGGTAAAATTTCAGTTATTTCAAAAAAAAAAAAAATTCAACGCGATTTTAAATTTTTTTCTTAATACCTTGGGGGGGAACTCCAGATAAGCGTGCTCTGACCCATTACCCGTTACTTTGCGATTGCGTACAAGAACCGAGAGGTGTTGTATGAACATTAAATATGACACGTGAAAACTTGCAAGCACTGCTTTTTTGTCAAAAAAAAATTAGCTTCTTTGGTAGAGAATTTAACATCAGTTGCTCTATGGCACTATACACCATTTTTCTACTCTACTCAACATCTTTAGGAAACAATTTCCTTCGTCAAAAAACGAAAACAAACAAATCCATTTCAAAGGCACAAAACGAAAACAAAAGAATCCATTTCAAAGGCACAAAAATCATTCAAATCAAAAAGCAGTCTAATTTCTATAAACAAGAATCGTGTTTGCAAAACAAGATCAAAACATTGTGAAAAAAAAATGAACAACAAACAATTGAGCCCTCCCAAATTAAACAAAAAATACAACAAATGAACATTAGGAATCTCGAAACTGACTAGACACACAATGCTTCCTCATAAGTTAAACAGCACCCCCGCTCCCCCCCAAAAGAAAAAAGTGCAAAAAAATCATAAATGACCAGAAAAGAACGAGTTCAGCTCAATTAGTATACAAACGACAAAAGGAAGTTTTGACACCACTTCCGTAAAAGCAAAACAATCCCCCCCTCCCCTTCAAACAGAAAAAAAGAAAAAAGAAACAGTAGAAAAGAAAAAATGTCACAGTTTGGTTAGTACAGGGTATTCCGCCCCACGGGCCACCTGAACAGCCTGACAACGGCGGGCACGGAGCGTATCCGATTGTTGATCTCCAGGGTAACCTCATCACTCGCCCTGAGGACGGCCGCACGCCCCGCACGCAGCTCTCCTAAGTTCTGAGGAAGGGGCACCATGGCCCGGACCTTCCTGTCTACGTTGTCCCACAAGTGCTCTATTGGGTTCAGGTCCGGGCTGTTGGCGGGGTGCACTATGAGGGGGGGTGTTTTCTTCCTCCACGAAGCTGCGTGTGATCTGGCCGGTATGCGCCGTGGCGTTGTCCCGCTGTAGCCCGTACGAAAAAGTTTAGTCCGGCATCAGTCCGTTTTCGGTCCGCAAAGAGTCCGGCTGGACAGTCCGTCATCAGTCC